ATTCCTTCTCTCTTCAAGGGCAGGTCGGTGGACAATTCTGAACAGAATTCATCTAACACCCACCAGGCTCAACTTTGTCCTAGCTCTCCCATCCCTGAGAAAAAAAGAAATCTTAACAACTTTATGAAGAAAGGAGTCGTTTTAAAGTTGGAGGAGAAATTGCAAGAAGGGATCTTCACTAAGGTCACACATTGGGCTCCTCGCCAAGTCCAGATACCTGTGTGTCTAAAAAGACAACCATTCCCAAAGCTCTTCAGAACACCATGATCTGAAAGATATTTATGAGACTACACCTTTCCTGTTCCACACAGCACATACTCCAGAGTGACGTGTTTGTTATCTTCAGTACTTTAGTAAATCATGTTGCCCAACAGCAATGGGAGTGACCTGCTTACCTATACGTACATGTACATTTAAGTTTGAGTATGTATGTTAAGAAATGTGAAAATCAAACCCAAAACCTATTTTTGGACATTAAAAGAAAATAAAAACCTATCTGCGATGCAGTAAAGGTAAAATAAGCCAAAAGGTAATGAGCTCTATAAAAGGTAATGAAAGGTAAAAATAAACTTGAGACACCAATGCAGAATCAACTTTAAAGCACAAACAAAATAATTAGACAAAGTATAACTGGGTATACAGTCCCGAGTCAAAAAATGTAAGGAAAACCAGCTCTATGGCAAGGGCAAGTTGTTGCTAGCTCAAGAGAAAAAGGATGCTTTGATCAATTTTGTGTGAGGACAAAGATAAATCCCTAAAGCAAAACAGAGGATGTGTATCATAAGGATTTATCCCTACTTCAAGCAGAAATGGAAGAGAAATTTGTGTGTAACTCCACTGGAGGACAGATACTAGCAATAAAACAAACTGAAAGAAAACTAGCCACATAACTTTATATAAACTACTACTAATTTACAAATTTATTTTATGTACTACACTAGCAGGCTTTTAAAAAAATAGATACCCTGTGCATTAGAAAAGAAACAAAGATGACTTCTATCTGAAAGAGAAAAGATGACTGTGGTCATCAAAGACATTGTCTTCTGGCACAAGCCTCAAGATAAGCAGGGATTTACTGTAGGTAAACAAATTGCAAATAGCAAGAAAAAAACCCTTGATCTCCTGCATAGAACAAAACCCCCAAACTAAAGTATCTTATTCTTTCTTGATGCATTAAAAAAAGGTTTTAATGAAGTGGAATAAGAATATTTATTTTAGAAAAAGGGAACTTTCTAGATTAAGTTGAAAACTTCCTTTTTGTCTCTTGTATTAGAACTTTAAACTTTTGAGCTAATCAGGGGCACTCTGCCACTGCTGCTGTCTGCCCTGTGAACCCTCTGATGGTACATTCAGGTAAAACCCATTTACCAAAGGCTGACTTCTAACATACATGTAATTTTAATAGAGGGAGAAATAAATAAGCTAACCAATTAAGAGAATGCTCAGAAAAGAGACTTGGGAGTAATGGAAAGATAAGCACATATGGAAGGTAAACAACTTATCTTACACAAAGACCTTTATAAAGTACTTTTATCCTTCATAAAATACTTCCGAGTATACTTCTCTCCAGCTAGGATCAGACACGTGTCCCAATATTATGCTTCACGATAAAGATGGTATGGTGAGTTGGAGGCTCCTTTTCTCTTTAATTTTCAGGCATCACACCCAGAGCTCCCAGACTTCTGGACTGAGGTGTCCAGATACAACAAACTTTGTGGCAAGTGTTTTAAATAAAGTTCAGTTTGGGCAGAACGAAGAATTATGCCCTTCTTATTAGCTGTTCCACTACTAAAATACGAAGGGCTTGTCTGTCACCTACACTGAAAATGTGAAATAGAATACAAGGCATACTATACCATCTGAATCATAGCACGTTTGATGTTGGAATGGACCTCTGGAGACCATCGAGTCCAACGCCTCTGCTCTAAGCAGGGCCAACTACAGCAAGTTGCTCAGGATTGTGTCCAGTCAGGTTTTGTGCATCTCCGAAGATGCAGACTCCACAGTGGTTCAGGGCCACCTCTTCCAACATTCAACTAACCTTATGGTAAAAAGGTTTTATGTTTAAATGGAATTTCCTGTGTTTCTGTACCTACCCGTCGACTCCCGTCCTTCCGCTGCGCACCACCAAGAAGAGAGCCTGACTCCATCCCTGCTCCTTCCTGTCAGGTGTTCATACACTTCACCACCATCCCCCCAGCCTTCTCTCGGATAAAAATCTCAGCCCTCTCAGCCTCACCTTGTATGACAGATGCTGCACTCACCTCTAATTGCCAAAGCGTACACAGGACAGGGGAAAATTGTCAATTATATGGACTCCACTCCTGTATTACACAGCACAGGAGTTCATCAGCTGGAAAGCCTGAGATAGTCACATTCCTTGCATGTGCAAACCACCACTACATGACGTGGCACCAAAAAAAAAAATTAAAAAAAAAAATCTTGTGCACGTCACTACCTAGAAAGATAGAAAGTGGATGTGACTCACCTTGTAATAATTGATTCATTTATTTTTTTAAAGCTATAGCTTCAATCTTGTACAAATTGAGTATATTTTTGGGTATCTGGGAAAAGGTTACTGAAAAACACTTTAAGCCACTGCAAATGTTTTTATACAAGATGAGCCTTATCAAGTTACGCTTAATCTGTACTTATAAAATAGTATTTAGTATGAATTCAAATCCTTTAAACCACTACGATGTAATGACTTCCCAATTCAAACTTGGGCTGCTGGAAATTAACACCAAACTTGATCAAATGCACTAAAACCCCATTCAAAATAAAAAGGAGACATATTGAATGTCCTGTCAGTTATCAAGATTTTGGAACATGTTTGCAGCTTATATTCACCAGACTCGAAGCACAGCAATTAATGGTATTAGAGCATCTTACCTCCCTGGTAATTAATAGTCATAATCACATAAAGGTTTTGAAGATAATTGTCAATAGAATATTATACACAGAACACCAAGGAGAAAAGAATGCAGGCTGTATTTTCAGGATGGAGTATTACACAACCTGGCTTCCTGCTCCAGGACAATAACCTCATCTCCTGAATTTCTCAAAACTCAGATGTCAAAACTAGATACAGTAAGTTATTGGCAATCTCAGTGCTGCAATGAGCTGCAAGATCAGTTCTGAAACATCAGATGTAGGAAACAGCTAGTAAGGTTTTTCCAATTACCAGCCCATGATGTAATCAAAAATGTTAAAACTAAATAAACCTGAGGATGCATTACGAAGGGAACACTGAAGGCAAAGTAGGGAGCAGATAGATATTCCTAGAAAGAGGAAGACACAATAATACTGGAGTGGCTGGAAAACAAACTGTACCGTGAACTTACAGAAGCTTATCTGTGTATCTCAGTGAAAACAAAGTTAAGAGATGACTTCATTAGTATGTATATCTATTATACTTTGGAACTGAGGCATGCAGGTGTCAGTATCACAGACAAGCAAGATGGCAGTCAAAAGCTACACAAATTCAGATTTTAGATCAGCAATTTTCTGTGAGGTAAACAGCAGACCACACTAAATACAGACCCATCATGAGCAATACTAAGACAAAACAATAGCAATATTAACACCAAAAAAAATCTGATTTTTTTTTCCCAGTTTGTGGAAAAAGGAAAGTGCATATATGCTACATAACTGTTTAAGACTTCCTCTTCTATATAAATGTGGAACAAGATTAAATTGACCAGCTTGTGCCTCTCAAATCGTGAAGTCCTGCTCCCACATCAGGACACGCTATGATCCAAAGTGGAAGTGTGCTTATGGAGGGACAGCAGAATAATCCAAACCAAGACTTCTGGGAGAAAGTAAGCTAATAGGGACTGATGACATCACCTTTAAGATTGGTATCAGATCATCCTGTATGCTGGAAAACTTTATCTGTGTGACATGTAGGATTGACAGGGGTGTATTACTTCATTTTGTCAGGCGAGAATACAAGTTCTATGCAACCATTTCTGACAGACAACAACAATTCCAAAGGATGGAGGCAAAGAAGGACAAAGAGACTAAGAAGTAAAAGAGTTTTTAAAAAAGAGTTTACACTCACATTTCAACCTAATGTATCAGTTCTATTAAGGAAAGATCTAAGTCAGGAAAAGAAACAAAGAAGTTCTATGCTAAATTTATCTCCTGATTTTTAGGAGATAAATTATTGTTTATCCAGACAGAACAGCAGGGGTACGGAAAAAAAAATGCTGCAGATTAGCTTCTGAAGAACTCATGACCAGCTGAATAGAAACTAAATGTTTGGAGGACAGTAGCATTACTTGCAACATCATCACTGAGGGCTTGGGCTACAAACACAGCAGACCGAAACCCAGCTTTTCCTATTAGATTGCTGCTTTCTGCTCTCAAAAGCTAAGATTTTATTTGCACACTTCAAAAATCCATAATAAACTTTTGTTTGTGCAAAACAAACACCAGTGAGTGTTTGTTACCACAACACATAATAACCTTAATTAAGGGAGATCTATGCTTCACTCAAGAGTGTTCATTGCTACTCCACTTCTAGAAGGGCCGAAATTCCCTATGTAGATTTTAGGTTTGATATATTTTAACCAATACAGCAAGAAGCAGAAAAAGAGATAGCATCTAAACCATATTTTATGAAAAGACTATGGAATTACAAATTCAAGAGATACTTTAAATACGTACCAAAAAGGATAATATATTGTCTTTAGATGTGAAGCCAAATCCTGTTTCAGAGTGTTTCAAATGCAGTTCTGAATACCTTTTTCTCCACAAGTACTTATTGATTTATTTTTTTTAATTAGGTAATCAACTTAATAAGACTGGTTAAAGATTAAAGCACCCTGAGTCAGAGTGCACTGGTTTCTGCACAGACTCCAATAAGGTGAAACATGAACTCTACAAGAATGGATATCATCAATTTATTAGTACAGTGACCAAAAACATTTAAATACTATAAGATAAACAGGTTTTCAATCTTTTCTTCATCTTTCCTTTTAAAATAAAAAAATTACCTCTACACAAAAGATCTTAAGATCAAGTCCACATAATTTCATCTTCTCTGGAAAATGCTGAAAAACATTCAGATACGGAATATGGCCTTCAACAACAAACCTGCATTAAAAAAATGAAGATCAAATCAAATCAAAATAGCATTTATTATGACAAATTCATATTTTTATTCTAAAATTAATATACAAATCAACTTCTAATTTGAAATAACATCAGTATTATATTGCCTAAATAATTCTGTCTGAAGTTACACACCCCTAAACGTCTCACGGGACAAAAACCAGTTCAATCATTTAACAGGCCTTTAAATTCAAGCTTAGATATGATTGACAAATGTTATGGCAGTAAGCTTACAATCAACACACTTATGTGGAGTTTGTTCTGCACATTCTTCAGCTCCTGCATTTCTGAAACTGCTTTAAGCTTCCTTTGAATGGTATGGACATTTCAAAATTCTAACGCTTTAAGTAGATCTTACTTTTAAAACACACGCTTTCTGATGGAGGAGTTTGAGTCAGGTAATGTGGTAGGGAAGAAAGTCACAGAATGATGAGCAGATATACAGAACTTAAAACCCATTAATTACACCTGTATTCCGATTTAAAAAAAAAAAAAAACCCCACACACACCAAAAAACAAAGACCACATTATTGGGTATGCATAGAAATTATTTTGTATACTAATAAATACAAAATAATTTGGGGTTTAGGTTTTTATTTTTCTTGACTTTTTCATATATACACATATAAAAATAAAAGATGGGACTTAACAACAGATAACAATAAAAAGCCACCACCACAACAAACCCCTGCTCTTATCTAGCATCTTAGCTGACATTCACACCAGGCAAAGCAAGCACTGCAGAAGCATGGACCCTCACAAGGGGACAGACACTACTCTCATTCCAGACTAAATAATATTAGTGGTCTCCCATTGGACAAAACTAAAACTGCCTTCCTCTGTCACTTCTTCTCTGAAACAATTTTGTTAAAAGAGTACCTTAAATTTGAATAAGTTACCATTTAAAAAACAGAAGACACAGTTTTTTAAATGACACCAGAGATGTGAAAATAATTTTCTCTCCTGCCAGCTGCATTATCTGCACAGTATCTCTCTGATCATGCTACACAGATTAGTAACTTCTTGGTCTATGAACTCTGCAGGTCCCTCCTGGTTCTTACAGTGGTTGTAAGGCTGGGGTCTGCACCTGCTCCCAGTTTGGGGCAGTACCTAAAACATTTCCATCGCCAGTTGGATCCAATCCCAGAGGCTGGAACACCGAGCTCCTCATAAAGCACACTGATCTGCCCCTTGCATTCAAAATGCATTTGGAGGAAAAAACAACACAATAAAAGGAACAAACCCAGGGCAGAACAATGTCTTCACAGACAGAGCAGCCACTGTTGAGGATGATTCAACTCCCTCCTGAGTCCATGCCAACTCACAAGCTCACCTTCCCTCTCCTAATCCAGTGCTCTTTAATCACCGCTTGTTCCATGCTATGTAGTGTGTATCTATTAAAGTTTACTAAAATTCTAGTTACTGCAAAGTTTATAGCCACATCCTATTTTTTTTTTTAAAAAAAAAAACATTCTTAGCTGAATTTTCAGTTCAATAAAAAATTTACTTCAAACTGGGATTAAAATGAGAAGTGCATTTCTGAATCAAAATTGCTAGAATTAACCCACGGTTTACAACAAATCCTGAAAAATAACAGCAATCTAAAAAATCACATTGCCCAATATTTTTTATTCTGAAGCTCTGCCTGTTAGTCTCTTAAATGAAGAGGTAAAAGCTGCTTCGCAATCCTTTTAATCTAATTGGGTGATGTTCATTTTGCTAACGAACTTTCAGTAGCTTGGCTCAACCAGACTGGAGATGTGCACTGGTCCACATACCCGGTGAGGTTATCCTCCAAACCCTGCACAGGCTGCTTGTCCCTGCCACCCCATCTCATCTGCTGAGCAGCTTGCACAAGGGCTCCTTCGCTCATTCTAGTCAAGGTCAGGTGCGCTCAGCCAAAGAACTTAAACTTGAGGTATAGTTTCACAAAACGGATTGAGCCAACCTAAGCGCACAACACAACTAGTCGTACCTCCCTCCTCCTCATTTGTCTGTGTGCTCCTGTTGCTCATCATCCTCTTCTACAAAGGTAGCTCACAACAGCAGCAAAGGACCACTCATTACCCCACTCCCAGAAAGAAGGGTTTCTTTCCCATCATCTAACAAACCGAGGAGGCTCACAGAGAGCTCCAGCAAGTGCAAGAGTAGGCAGAGGGAAAGGGATACATCACACAGGCAGGAGGAGTGAAGAAAGGGAAGTGAGACCTTCCTCTTTCAGCAACAGTGACCCATTACTGGCTCAGCTGATGATAAGCTCTGGCTGACACATGTTAAGGTGCAATCACATGATCAGCTGCCAGATCTGAAGAGCTGGTACCAAGGCACAGAGAGCAGCAAGCTCCTGAGCCAGCACAGCAGCAGCTGGAAGAGGACAATCAGGACCTTCCTTCGGGTGTGGTGTAGTGGTGATTGCAGGCAAACCACCCTAACAGCTTGCTGCCTCTAAATGGGAAATACCACCCTCCCTCCAGTCCTCCACCACACACTCCTCCCTGCTGACAAAAGCACTTGTGTGACTTCTCAGACGGAGGATTAGATTGAAACTAGTCTTTTGTTTTCCAGGGCTTGATTTTAACCAGGCAGATTTCCAGACTCAGTTGACTGCAGGAACATTATTGCCAGCAGAAGGGACTGTAGTGAAACAAATCAACCTGCATTAAAATGTCTTGTGAAACTTTCCTTTGCAAAGTTATTTTTTTTTTCAGACCTACTTCTTTCAGTTAATAAACCATAAAGTAGATGAATGCTACAACCCAGGGCAAAAGAAAGA